TTGTATTCCAGAAAGCGTCAAATTGTATTTCAGCATAGTCACTTGTATTTCAGAAAGCGCCAATGGGCTTACCTATATCACAAAAAAATTTCATTTCATAATTCGATAGAGCTCACCCAAACTAGCTTACCACCGCAAACCGTTTCTTGCTGTGAGCTCCCTACGTTTTATAAAAAATTATTGAAATCCCCGATTTTTCGGACCTCTGAAAACGAGGCGATGATGTGACGTCAAAACCCTAATACTGAAACAAGATTATTCCAGACAGAGATGAATGATACATGATTTCTGACAGAGTGAATTAGCGCGAGATCACAGTTGAAAGAATTAATATATCAGTTGCCTCAGTCTCCGTCGGGCGTTTGGTATTTTCTTTTAACTATGGCGAGATGAGGTTTCTACGTCATAAGAGGGTCAGTTTTCAAAAGGTACTATTATTTATGTCCAAAAATGAAACATTCCAGTTAATTTTTCGATCGAATTATGTAGACATTCATTATTTATGTATAAAAGGATCATTATGAACATGGTTTGAGTTAAAAATTCTACTAAGGTACTACAGTTGTACACGCCCATTGTATTTCGAAATAAAATAGTCAATTGAATTTCAGAACGTCTTATTTGTATTTCAGAAAATATCATTTGAAATTTGATAAGAACAGAATTTGACATAAAAAATGAGAGTGAAGTTAGCTCACCCGATTTCAGAAGTTTGTCAAGTCGTCCAAGAGGGAAGAAAAGGGGTGGTCAACTAATAGTTTTTCATGCCGTCTAAGGGGTAAAAAGGGGTTGAAATACCAAAAAAAAATCATTATCTCCGTTAATAATCGTTGTACATGGATTTTGAATGCGGTAAACGAATCTACTGATCGAATTTGATAGGAAGGTGGTCAACTAATAGTTTTTCAGGCCATCTAAGGGGGAAGAAAAGGGGTTGAAAAACAAGAAACAAATCATTATCTCCGTTAATACTCGTTGTACATGGATTTTGAAGGCGACAAACGAATCTACTGATTGTATTTGATAGGGAGGTGGAGAAATCATAGTTTGTCAGGCCGTCTAAGGGGGACAAACTATTAGTTGACCACTATTGACCACCTACCTATCAAATTCGATCAGTAGATTCGTTTACCGCCTTCAAAATCCAAGTAAAACAAGTATTAACGGAGATAATGTTTTTTTTGTTTTTCAACCCCTATTATTCCCCCTTAGACCATGACAAACTATCAGTTGACCACCTTCTTATCAAATTCCTTCCGTAGATTCGTTTACTGTCTTCAAAATTCATGAATAACGAGTACTAACGGAGATAATGATTTTTTTGACAAACTTTGGGTTTACCATATTCCTATCAAATACAATCAGTAGACTCGTTTACCGCCATCAAAATCCATGTACAACGAGTATCAACGGAGATAATGATTTTTTTTCAACCCCTTTTCTCTCCCCTTAGACGGCCTGACAAACTATGAGTTCACCATCTTCCTATCAAATCCGATGAGTAGATTCGTTTGCCGTCTTCGAAATTCATGTATGAATATTAACTGAGATAATGAGTTATTTTTTTAACCCCTTTTCTTCTCCCTTAGACGACTTGACAAACTATCGATTCACCACCTTCCTATAAAATTTGAGTCAGGCCCCCCTTCAATCGTTCTATGAAATGCGTTTGAGTCCCATATGAAATCGGGTGAATATGTTGAACACATATTCGGCAATACATTTTTTTGGTGTATTTTGTTGATGTGGCCAACTTCACTCGCATACATAATAGTTATTTATGTATCAAGGGCGTAAAGTAGGCGTTTATGGCCTGTGGCGTGGATAATGGCCCGACGGCGCTAGCCGAGGGCCATTACACGCTGAAGGCCATAAACGCATTTCACGCACGTGATACATACAAAATTTTATGCACTAGTGGTTCATTTCCTGACTCAAAAGTGATGATAGAGATAGATTTCGATAAACTGATATTCCCCCGAATTTGATTTGTTACGTATAATTTCAGTAATCAAGAGAAGCGTAGGTAATGTTCATGGATGATTCACATATTAAAATTATCGAACGAATATTGCAATTATCGTAAAAGTAAAACTCTTTGATCTCTAGAAGAGATTCATTTTTCAGAATTTTACAATATGCATACCCAGTATATATACCTAACAAATTTTGACGTTGTGAATCAAGCTGATGATTGTTGTCTATAGCGATACATCCAATAAACGAGCTGAATTGTCATTCTTTGACTGAAAAGTAAAAATTAGTGATAATAATAATAGCGAGATATGGAATCGGATAAAGAAGAAGTTTATGATATACTGCTGGATATATATACTAGAATCTATAAAAATGATCATAGGTTTCTCATGAATTGATATGTGGATATAAGGTAACTCAGAATAGCGGGCGGTAAAGTACACTTTACGGCCCGTGGGCCATAATGCGCCCGCGGGCGGTAAAGTGCGACTTAACGCCCGCAAAACCGGGCGGTAAAGTGCACTTTACGGCCCGCTGGTGCATAAAAATAATTTATTGACCATGAATAATTTCTTTGTGTGACATAGTTTGACAGGTCGTTGGATAGCCTGATTCAATTTTCAGAATAGACGTTTTAAATCTGAAAATGATGACAATTCGGAAATGTCAGTGGTGACAAGTGTAACCTCACTCTTCGAAGGGCGTGAAATGAGATGTTTGACGACTCAAGAATTTTTCACTTCCTATATATATCTATCCTTCTATCTACACACTCCACTTTGGAATTCCATGGACTTCTACCAAAGATTAACTTTGGATATTTTTGAAAACACAATCAAGATGATGGAGAGAAATACAGGGAGTTTTTGGACTCCTAGATGACTGTTTATGCCTCGGTTTATACTTATTATAATTTCAAATTACTGTTAATGAGGGCTAACATTTTCAGTCCCAACAACTGGCGCTGCCAAATTGTGAGGTCAATGTCAAAGGCTGTGGCCAGCTTTATCGAAGATATTCGGAAAAAAATATGTAGAATATTTGAACAAATAGAAAACCTCCCAATGAGGGCTAAAATTATTTATTGTCCATCATATCGCGCCACTGGAAAGTGAGGTCAGAATTGGTAGAACTGGTAAATATACTTCTTCTTTTCATGTCAGTTGGCTTCTTCCTATGATATCTTCTTCTCCGCCAATGTAAGAATTTGTGGTAAAGTCTCGGGTAAAGTTCCATATTGAGAGTAAAAAAGAATGTAAGTCTGCTCAAGTCTTTCCATGACTTGTTCAAATAATATTTCACATCATTGAACATTTTCTGATAAAACAGGCCACAGCCTTTAGGACTAGAGGTGGGCAAATTTATCGATAAATCCATAATTATCGATAATATCGATAATAATTCAGATAAAATTTTCGATGATTTTCGAAAAGAGATACATTTTTCTCCTTTTCGAAATTTTTCTCCGTGCTTCCGTCTTCAAGATACAGGGCGTCAAAATAATACAAAAAACACAGTTTTTTGCTACTATCTTAGGAACCGTTTGAGCTATGGAGTTAAGCCTTCCTACACACTTCATCATCAATAATGACTACTTTTAGGGCTTTTGATCAATTTCCTTGGACATGTCAGTGAAGGAGAATTCAACGCCTCGTAAGGGTTTAACCCCCCAAACATTTATACCACTGGAGAAATTGTAATTTTCAAAGTAGATTCTGAAGCGCCAATATTTTCACACAAAAACGTCCTCTTGTCTCAATGCTCTAAAGTGAAAATTTTCTGTGAAAAATGGCTCTTTATGAATAAGAACATACAAAATCCTGATGGTATCTCCAAAAATCCACTGGAAATAAACACCTCAGAAGGGTGTAAGAATATGTTCAATCAAATGTCAGGTTCTTGAGTATGCTGGTCTTGATGCTGGTTTTCAAAATGTCAAGTTTATCAAGTGTTGTAAAGTGTGTTCAATTAAACAGAACATTTTTAATTTTTGACGCCCTGTAACTTGAAAACGGAAGTCTGGAGAAAAATTTTAAAGGGGAAAAAATGTTTCTTTCATTATGAGGAATCTACAGTTTTCCATTGTGACACTTATAATTCACATAAATAATTATAAATTATCATTTTCAGGGAGATGTTCAGATTGAAGTATAATAATTAATAAGATTGTTGTTGGCTCAAAAAAAAAAACCTTTGTTGGTAACATAGTAAGTTTTCCATATGACAAGATAAGATACTATGTTCAAAACCATTTAAAACACATGAGTGCCTAATTTTCAAATGAGGATGTCTATAGAAACCTGTCTGAAAGAAATATTCCAGGAAATATTCCTTTCTTACTAGTTAGTGACACATTGTAAAAACATATGGAAGTAGAGCAATTGAATATTCATAGGGTAAAAATAGCAAAATATAAAAACAATTTGGAAATTAATACATAGTTCAATGGTTTCCTAGTGAGAATAAGGAACAAATCTGTTTCTGCAACTCTCCAATGTTATATGTCCGTACAATATACCTACCTCAGCCCCCTAAAAGTAATTCAAAGAATGGTGAACAGAGAACTTACTGATCTGTCAATACTCACCTCCTAAGTACATCCTGTAGGTACATGAAAGTTGGAATTTTGAAGTGATATTTTCTGGTTTATAGTTTGTGCTTACAGGTGCACTGATATAGGAAAGTTTCAAATTAGCTAATGCATATCATAGGAAGTTCAAACAGATTATACAATTGATGTTATTATTGTCCTATCACACTGTACCCAATGCTATAACAAGTTTATACCTGATTTGAAATAGTTTCCACCATAACACAATTGCCAATAACTCGAAAAAATCTAATGAGCATGTAAAAGTAGAATCAAAATTCAACCAATGGTCTACTATCTAGGAGGTCAATAACTACCTAATAAAACTACATTGTTATAATACATCTGAGTTCTGCGAGAGAATAATGATAGTTGTACGTGGTTATACTTGTTATTGGATGAATTATTAAATAATAAATGAAATCAAACAAACCTGTAGTATGACAGATGACCATTTTGGAGAACAAACCACCTCCTCTGATATCCCTTCAAATAATTTGTCCACTTAAAAAGCCATCCCTTCATTGCAGGTTCATTTTGAGAAGAATTCGATTTTGTATTATTTACACTGTCACCCATGTTCAATATCAATAGGTCGCACTATTTATTGTTTAATGAGACAAAAATATCGAAATCATTACACGTCGTCCATCCATATTGACGTTATGACGCAACATGTCAATTTATGTCAATGCTGTCACTGCTGTCATTGTAACTGTCAATATTCAATATTACGTCAAATTATGTCAATCACTGGGAATCACTGGAAAATCAAATTCATAAAACACAAAATAGCGTTTTCCACTCGTGGCACTAGCTCGAGCTTTTTCGGCACTGAGTGCGTTTTGCGTGGTCCACTGAGAATTTCAGGAGCGAACTCTTGTCGAGAAATGATTTCCACTGGCTTTCAAACTTGCTCGATGCCCGCTCAGAGTTCGAGTTTTCAGAACTGTGCTTGTACGACGGTGCGATACACATAACCTCAAATATTCGAGTCACGAGTTGGTCACGAGTTGGAAAATGTTTGGGATTCGAATAATTATGAATGTCATTGAAGTTTATTACTATTATCACAATAATTTCCAAAATCATAGATATAATGAGCGATAATGAGAAAATTATGATTGAGATAGAGAATAAGTACTTCATTACGAAACAGCGTTTACGGAAGATTCAACATTACCTAAGAGTTAAAGACAGCTATTCAGATGTGCAGGTATCAAACATATATGATTGTTGATTCAGTGTAATGGTGAAAAATATACTAACTTCGTGAACGACACTTCAATGCTACATCACTATTGTCGAATGATTCAATAATTGAACATCATTGACAATGAACATTCATATATATAATACTGATTCTGGTTGGTTTCTGGCAGTGTTCCCAGGGAAACCACAATACGAGGTAGATGAATCCATTTCATGTGGACCAACAGAACCAAAATATACTTTCAATAATTCAACTTTTTGATTGACAAAACAATTATTCTGAAATTTCTAATGATAAGAAGATCGCACCAACTCTCTATTTCTATTCCACTGCTCTGTGCTGGAACCGCACTTTATGGAAGATCCGAGCTAGTACCACTTGTATTTGCTCTGTGCTAGTGCGCTCTGTAAATCGGCGAGTGGAAAACGCTATTAAAACACAAAACACTGTGGCATCGGCAAGAGTGGAATCATATATCTACTACTCATATATGAAGCATAGCCGTCTTCTAAGCGGGAACAAATTCTGCCTCTATAGGTAACGGAATCGACAAAGGTGACGATTCCGATACGGCACCTGGTGGGCAAATTTGAACCAGTTTAGGACGTAATTCAAGGTCATGTTTGTTATTGTGTTCAGTGGGTTTCATATTTTATGAATACCATTCAACAAATTACGTTAATTTTCTCTTCTTGCGTCTCTTGAGTACAAGACATGAACTTTATATCAATTGCCTAATCAATTCTATATTATTTTATGAATTAGTATCAACAAATCTCTGATAATACGCGAAATCAACTGTGTTTGGTTGCTGGTTGAACTAGTAGAAGGTTCCAATGGATGTAGGACCTATATGTCCTCTAAAATGAATTTCCTCCACTCAAGAAGTCTTTTCTGATAATGAAGAATCAGTTCAGCTGATTGGAAAAAATGGATAAACGTTGAGAATCCAATATGAGTTTGAAAACTGGATGTATGCAGCTCCAACAAAAACTTCCTACCTTTCTTCAATCCAATTACGATAACAATAAGGTAAATTTGTGATTCATTGATATATTTATTACTGATGAATCTCTCATTTGCAGTGCCTATCTGAGAGAGAACATGATTGAAATGATCAACAGTTCATACCATGTTCATACCTATTTTGTTTATGGGGAAATGTCTCCAGGACTTGGAAAAATAAGTATGGTTGTTGTTTGGCTTATAAATGGCTGATAAGTGTCTTATAGAATTAGACTGAATTAAATAATGACTCATAAACGAAAAACTGTATTGCAGATGAAAATATTACAATACGTCTATTTATAACATTTATTCCTGTCTCTCTTATCACTAAACTCCTTGATCCCAAAGCAAAAACAAAATACAGGGTGATAATATCTGTAACATTCTCCCCCCCGTATAATTTGAATTATACAGTATTCTTTTCTTCGGTAATTAGAGGTATAATCTTAGTGACGGGACGTTTGTAAACCTTCGAATTGATTTTCACGTCTACTACTCGTATTCTACCGTCTCGTCCAGGATATGTTTCAACTATCAACCCCATAGGCCAACTATTTCGTGGTGTGTTATCCTCCATCAATATTACGATATCATTGATAGCTAAATCTGGTGTCTTTTGATTATGCCACTTTGTTCGCTTGCAGAGTGTTGGCAAATACTCCCTGACCCATCTCTTCCATAGCATATTCGTCAAGTATTGGGCTATCCTCCATTGCTTCCTTGAACATAAATCATCTTCCTCAAATTGTCCCTGAATGTTAGGATTTGAATTGGTTCCTATAAGAAAATGGTTTGGAGTCAATGGTTCCATGTCTACAGGGTCGATGGGAATATGAGTGAGAGGTCTGTTGTTGACAATATACTCAGCCTCTATTAATAAAGTCCATAGTACTTCTTCTCGTGGAGCCCTCTCTTTCAAAATCGTGTAAAATGCTGTTTTAATCGATCGTATTAATCTCTCCCAGCTACCCCCCATGTGCGGCGATGCTGGTGGTATAAAATGCCATGTAATGTTTTTGTTGGTTAGTGCATCGTTCAATTTGTTTTTATCTACATCCTCTAAAGATTTTTTCAGTTCCTTTTCGGCTCCCCGCAGATTAGTGCCATTATCTGAGTATAAGTGAGTAGGTGAGCCTCTTCTTCCTGCCATTCGCTGAATTGCCATGATAGCTGAACTAGTATTCAGTGTCTGAGCAACTTCAATATGTACTGCCCTTGTTGTGAGACACGTGAATAAAACTCCGTATCTCTTCTCCTTATGTCTTCCAACTGTAACTTCCAACGGCCCAAAAAAGTCCATGCCTGTATGAGTGAAAGGCCGATGAAAAGCTGCTAATCTTGCTTCGGGCAAATCTCCCATCAAAGGAATTTGTGGTTTCATGCTTCTTTTCTTCTTACAAATAATGCATGACATCAAAACTCTCTTGACTAGTGGCCGAACATTTAAAATCCAATATTTTTGTTTGATCTCGTTGAGGACATAATCGAGTCCAAGGTGACAACAAGTATCATGTATATGTTGAACTAATAATCCGCAAAAACGATGGTCAGGATGCAATATAACTGGATTTTTCATATTTTCTGTCACTTGTGCTGAACATATTCTAGTTCTCATTCTCAATACATTATTTCCATCTAGAAAAGGAGTTAATTGATACAATTTGCTATTTTTTCCTACGAATTCATGTTTTGTCAAACTCTTTATTTCTTCTGAAAAATACATCTTCTGGATTTCTTTCCACCACAACTCTTCTGCTTGATTCAGATGTCTAGGTTTCAATCCAATGTCAGTTATTTGTGAACTTACTAAGGTCCTCTTGGATCTGCTCCTTTCTATAAAATATATTATCTGCCCTGTAACACGTACTAATCTCTGCCATGAAGAAAACGCCTTTCAATACAAGGAAGTGCGTCATTTGCTACACCTGGGTTCTTCAAAGTTATTGTAAGAGTGAAGTCTTCTACTTCCAGTTTTCCCAGAAGGTCCAATTCCTTTTCTTCCTGGTTGTCTTCCCATAGCCATTCTGATTCAGGACATTTCAAAAAATCTGGCCCCTGCTTTAACCATCTACTTTCTGCATTGACTTTTGGTTCTACTGTCCACTTTGTGCCTTCATCAGCTACATTATTTTTTGTGTTTATCCATTTCCACCATGTTGTATCTGTACGTTCTCTAATTTTCCTCACTCTATTCGATACAAACTGTTTGAGTCTTAGTGAGTTATTCTTCAACCAGTATAAAACGGTTTTAGAGTCGTTCCAGAGGTACACCCTTGAAAATTTCATAGAATGATTTTCATTGATGAATCTGAATAACTCGCTTGCCAATAACGCTGCTAGTAGTTCGAGCCTTGGAATTGAAAGTTCTTTCAGTGGAGCAACTCTGGTTTTTGCCATGATGAAAGCTGTATCTACAACTTCGTCATTCTGTATCCTCATATATGCTACAGCAGCATATGCTTTATCACTCGCGTCACAAAAAATATGAAGCTGTAGGTACTGAGGAATTTGCAGATAACAGCTTAGAATAACATCTATCTATCTGCAAGTGTTCTATTTTCAGAATAACTCGATCTTTTGAACTTGTTCCACTTATTTTCAAATTCTTGAGGTAACTTTTCATCCCAGTGAAGTTTAATTTTCCATAATTCTTGTAAAACAATTTTTCCAAAAATGACAACATTGGCTACAAATCCAAATGGATCAAATATGGACATTATGAATTGTAATAGCTCCCTTTTTGTAGGCACTAAGTTGTCTTCCATAATTTCACGTCTCACTTTATGAAATTTCAGTTCAAAGAAAAACTTGTCTTCATTAGAATTCCAGTGAAGTCCAAGCACACGTTCATAAGAAACGTCCGATTCTAAATTTAAGTTTTTGTTATTCCTAGAAAGCAGGTCTGTAGGAATTGTTTCCAAAACTGATTGTGAGTTGCAATTCCAGTTACAGATAGTAAAATTACCTTTAGAGTGGATGTGGATAACTTCTTGAATCAGCTGTATTGCATCTTCTTCATTTTCGCAACTGTCCAAATAGTCATCCATGTAATGATTATTTATGATGGCATTTGCTGCTTTTGGAAAAGTGTTCATGAATTCTCCTGCATTCTTATTTCTAATAAACTGAGCTGAACTAGGAGAACAAATTGCCCCAAATAGCATCACTTTCATTTCATACGTGTCTGGGTCTTCATCTGGGTCTTCTCTCCAAAAAAATCTTTGAGCTGATACATCTTCACTTCTTATATTTATTCTTAAAAACATTTCCTTTATATCTGCGCAGAAGGCAATATTCTTCTCTCTAAACTTCCATAGAACTTTCGGAATAGAATTATACAAATCTGGTCCAGCTAATAGATTGTCATTTAAACTAACACCAAAAGACTTAGCAGCGGCATCAAAAACAACCCTAATCTTACCGGGTTTGTTAGGATTTGTGACCGCAAAATGAGGT